ACAACCCCACATCCGGTCTCAAACCAGGAAGTTAGCATTTTCTCGTGCACAGGGTCAATACTCAGTGGAGGTGAAGTGGACTTAATTTCATGTTTAAGAAACTAACTGGAAGCTGACTATAGCCACATTGATGGACCACTGTGGCTATAAAGGGATGGACATTGTTAGCAACGATACTACTGTAGGCTGTTGCATTTAAACAATGCTCAGTTGGTACCAAATGTCCAAAGTGTGTGTAGAAGATATCCCCCGTACCATTACTGCACCACCAGCAGCCTGAAACACTGGCAGGATGGATCCGTGCCTTCATCTTGTTTATACCAAATTGTGACACTACCGACTGAATGAGACTCAGACTATTTTTCCAGTTCTGTGTTGGCCAATCTGCTGGAGCTCATCTGCTTCAATGTGTTGGCCATTTAGAGACACTCTTCTGCATACCATGATTGTTATGAGTAGTTATTTTAGTTACTGTTGCCTGTCCATCAGCTTGAATCTGCCCAATCTCCTCTGACATCAAACAAGGGATTTTTGCCCAGAAAGCTGCTGCTTACTGGATATTTTCTTTTTTATGGACCATCCTTTGCAGAGATGCTTGTGCTGGAAAATCCTAGCAGATCTCCAGTTTCTGAAATCCTCAAACCAGCCTATCTGGCTATCAGCTATGCCACATTTAAAGTAATTTAAATGGCCTTTCTTTTCTATTCGAATGCTTGGTTTGAATGTCAGTAAGATGTCTCGACCATGTGCTCGTGCCTAAATGCTGCCATGTGATTGGCTAATTAAACAATTGCGTTAACGAGCAGTTGGTGCACCTAACAAAGTGGCTGTTGAGTGCATTGCTTAATATAAGATTTTAGCAGCTTAACAGTTCAGAGCTGCACTGTAATATGTGCTGTGCATGTTATCTTGATGAAATAAACAAGCCCATCCCTGCCACAGATGTCCCCTGGACAGCAGCATATGTTGCTCCAAACTTGAATATATCCTTTAGCATTAATAGCACTGATGCCATGGTCACTGATTAACTTTACATTGAGAAATGTTAAGGAGGGTGAACGCCCATCTTTACTTCTGAAACACTCCATTTCAGTTTCTTTCCACTCGATAGTTTTGTTTTGCTGGCATCAAATACATCTTTCCAGATACAAATTTCCCAGTTTCACCTAAATATATAATTAAGTAAGATGCAAATGGTTAGCAGCAGAAGACCACAGAGCGTGCCACTCCTTTATTTTAAATATTTAGCAGTTTAGCAAGTCCAAACTTGGAATCAGGGTTATGAGAGGTTACGTCTATTAAATTCAAACACTATTATTTAGTGGGACATAATGTTCATCATCTCATTTTAGCAGGAATATAATTTTGTAGCTATGGGTCCACAATCACTTCAAAAATATAGCATCTAAGTTATACCTACAAACAGCACCTATAGTCTCCCTGAGTCAGCAATGAAAAACGTGGCACACAGGCAGACTTACTGTTGACTGTAAATGACTTGTAAGCTTTTTAGCATTACACATCAGCAGATCCAGATCAGATCTAATCCTGATTTCCCCACGCAAACAATTCCAGTCAGTTCTCATTCCAGGGAGTTTATTTGGTCTATTTAGAGTATCAGCATGGAGGTTCACTCAGCATGCGACAAATATGGATTAAAGACAGCATTTTCACGTTGTTTTGTTGTTTGAAGGTAAACTGGAATTTGGTAGACTGCTCCAGCTGAAAACATGAAAAACAATCTATACTAATGACTGCACATATACAGTCACCTATCTATACGTCTGTCTCCATACACATTTAGTGTAATGTTTAATTAATTATATCCACAAGGTCAATGCATATTAATTACTTATACTGATTACTAAGCTTAATTAAGAAATTAATTATATGATTTCACACAGTTCATAATGAAATCTTTGAGCGGTGCGTGACGCTGCAGTTTCTTGCTCTCACCTGAGTTCCCAGTCCCAGAAGGATGAGCATGAAGAAGAAAAGCAGCGACCACAGCGGCGAGATTGGAAGCAGAGTGAGGGCTTCTGGGTAGGCCACAAAGGCCAGCCCCGGGCCATGATCAGCCACCTCTGACACGGGGACGTTGAGGTGGTGTGCCATGAAGCCCAGGATGGAGAAAATGACAAAGCCAGCATAAACGCTGGTGGCACAGTTGGTTATACTGATGATGATGCTGTCTCTGTATGTTGAAAGGAACAAAGAACCAAGCCAATTATATGAATACATACCGAACACATTTTAAATGGTTAAAAGAAAACAAATGGGATCAGCTGATCTCGATCTGTCTGCTGAAATATCAATGTTTAATAAAACCCTGAATTAATATAGAAGATGGCTTCATTAGTCTTAATAGGCACGATGTATGAGTCACGATAGTGTTCCTAAGCTCATTTACTCTGTTTACACTAATACACTAGTGCTGTTTTTCTGCTCTTTTTTTGACATCTGACTGTTGCCCGGGAAACACCTTTTCATCTTCTCTTCCTCCGACTCAGACTCGGACTTTGACCGTGTTCAGATCTAAACAAGGGAATACTGTGTTTCCACACTGCTTTCCTTTCTCACATTTCCTGTTTAGGGTTACCGCAGAGGATGTCTTTGATCACTTTGATGCCCACACATACGGATTCTGTTCGATCCCACTCTATCTGCACTTCTGCATGCGCACCAACTGGTGGTGTTACAGGAGTGCAAAAAGCATCTCCACCAGGGATGGAGCTGCAGAACACAAGCTGATTAAGTTGCCGTGCAGCTGTGTGCACCGATAGCACAACTTCAAGCTTCTGGCAGAGGAACACATTATATCTTTAGCTTCTCTCCTTAGCCCCGTCCCCTGACACCCTCGCTCCATCAGCATGTGTGGACAAGCTCAGGAGAGTAAATGACATCTTTTTCCCTCCTTATCTCCTTCTCTGTCCTTTTCCCTCCATCTTCACCTTCTCTTTGGCTTCTTGCACGCTCCCCTGGTGTTCAAGCACATGGCAACCAGCCTCCTAACACAAGTTCAAAAGAGCGTTTATCTCTGTGCCCACTTACCTCACCTTCTCTTTTTGCAAATGACTATTTTACCCCACAGCTCATAGTTGCTCCTTAGCTCTTGCTCTGACTCATTAACTCATCTGATGCATAAACTCAAATAAAGTCAGGCTTTTTTCCAAGAGCGAGTTATACTCAGCACAGCACTCACCACAATAACAAAACCAAACCTATATTGTGGTAATGTGTTTATAGGTGTGCTTTTAAGGTGCTGGCAGTTAGATTTTACTCCCATTAGACAAAGCAAAGTCTTTTCCTCCAAATTTCTTGCTTAGCAACTCATCATCGCCTGGCCCTGAATGTGTATTCTTTTTTATTTAAAGCATAGCTTATAATGAGTTTACTCATCGTCTTTACCAACCTGAAACAGTTGTTGTGGAACTTGTTATATGAAGCCATGGTAATGAGACCACCCCAGGCACAACCCAAGGAGTAGAAGATCTGTGAGGCGGCATCTCCCCACACCTACACAAACAAACCCACAAACCGTCAGAGGCAGTACAAAGATGGGGAAAAACCCAGTTCAGAAACATTTCTACATCCAACGCATCTCATTTATCTACATGCTAATGGAAGTGCATACCTTTGCATCAAGGACTTTCTGCCACTGTGGAGTCAGGTAGTACTTAATGCCGTTGATGGCTCCATCCAGGGTGATGCCACGGATGAAGAGGATAGTCAGAACAACATAAGGGAATGTAGCTGTGAAGTACACCACCTGAACACACAGATGATCACACAAGCTGATAAAATCATCCTATACACAAGCGCCTTAAAATGCCATCAAGCCAGGGTGTGTGTGTGTGCATGTGTGTGTGCTCTAGGCTCACCTTTCCAGAGGATTTAACGCCCCTGATGAGACAGAGGAAGACAACAGTCCAGGATACAGCCAGGCATCCCAGGATAGGGAGACGGACCTCTCCAAAGTTCCCAATATCATCAGAGATGTTCAACACATAGTGTCTGATAGACAGACAGACAGACAGAGAAGGTTTCAGGTGCTTTAAATACTTTATATTCACACGTCTGACTAAAGTTGTGCAAGAAAAGAAAACTCTGAAAGAGGAAAAAAAGCCCAGCTTTGCACTCTATCAACAGTCTTCAGCACAGAAAACTTTAAGCAGAGCCACAAAAACCTTGTATCTTGTGATCAAACACATCCATCAATCTGAAATGGTATTATATGTGGTATTGTAATTAGTAATGAACAGGTAGTCTGTACCGACAAGCTGAGCAGTCCCACATTACATAATCATATGTACCCTCTGTCATTAAAATGCCAAGAAAAGCATCAGGGAGTGCAGTTACAGGGCTGCTCCTTCTGCAACACATTTGAATAAGAGGCAGCAGATAATGACAACACTCTGACTTCCACTTTGATGGCCTATATTAATGCTACTAATTATGGATGTTAAGTGATGCGAATGCCACAGGAACTGCTTCACTGGCACAAAAATGATGATAAAATTCTAAAGGAGTCGACAGTGAAATGCTACTGAAAGTACCAACGTTTTTAGAGATTTCAGCAAGCACTATTGAGATCCTGTACAATAACAATATGTGGAATGGCAGCGGCAGGTGCAGGACAGGTCTACCTCAGCTTTAGTAATTAAAATCGTGATATTTCTCTTACACTTTTGTAAGAGAAATCAAATCTTAAAAGTACAGACACTATCTCTACTTTTAAGATTAGGCTTAAAACTTTCCTTTTTGCTAAAGCATATAGTTAGGGCTGGACCAGGTGACCCTGAATCCTCCCTTAGTTATGCTGCAATAGACGTAGGCTGCCGGGGGATTCCCATGATGCATTGAGTTTTTCCTTTCCAGTCACCTTTCTCACTCACTATGTATTAATAGACCTCTCTGCATTGAATCATATCTGTTATTAACCTCTGTCTCTCTTCCACAGCATGTCTTTTATCCTGTCTTCCTTCTCTCACCCCAACCGGTCGCAGCAGATGGCCGCCCCTCCCTGAGCCTGGTTCTGCCGGAGGTTTCTTCCTGTTAAAAGGGAGTTTTTCCTTCCCACTGTCACAAAAGGCCTGCTCATAGGGGGTCATATGATTGTTGGGTTTTTCTCTGCATCTATGAAGCGCCTTGAGGCGACTTTTGTTGTGATTTGGCGCTATATAAATAAATAAAATTGAATTGAAATTTTGCTCCCTGTGCAACAAACTGTGAGGGCGAAAACTGAAGCCAATGTGGAAGTGCCAAAATCTGTAGTTCCTGGAGTGTCAAGTCAGTCACCATAGGACTAAAAGCACATTTCCAGCCTTCCCCCATCATAACTGTATGCTGTTTGAGTTTATTTTTTTAATTCATCTTTTTGGGTACCGATGGTTACTGTGACTGATAGTTGTTCTTACACAAGCAGCATCTGCCAGTATAATATATATTATATATAGTACGGTACGGCCTTTAACATAGTAAGAGTCAAAATGCTAAAGTTGAGATAAAATGCAATTTCCAGAAGCCAGCTACTAACCTCATGGTTTATGCACACTCTACAATGCAAACCACAAATTTCTAGCATTGTCACATCCCTGATAATTGATGCATATACACCACTCTCACTTTTACATAACATAGCAAAGCCTGCACTTAAACAGTAGATGTACCTGGATATCCGCTTAAAGATCTCCTACTTTATGCAGATTTTTGTGACTGTGCTGCACAACAGAGTGCGCAGGAGTATGGTATACACCCTGCATGTCGGCTGAGATGATGCAGACCCAACACTGTACAGAAACTTCTGCTAGTCCAGTCAGATCTAGTCCAAATATTTGAATACTTTCTGCAAACATGAGGCCTCTTTGAGTCAAGCTTATCTGATAGGTCCAAGTCAATTTCAACCTCTGTTAAGAATGATAGGCCTACACAACCAAGTTCTAAGAGGTTACTGGTATAACTCGGCAAAACAAAGTGCATTACAAAACTCAATCATTGCATGAGCAAGCATTCCTGATTTAGTTTATATATAGTTCTACTTCGCAGAGAAAAACTTTTGGTTTAACTGTATTTTTAGTGTCAGCCTAAGTGCATCATATACTTCCTGTTCTTACTTCCAGTACTCCTCGCTTGGGCTGGTCCTCTTGGTCCGGTTCACTATCTCAGACACCCCAGCTACCAAGCTACTGGTAGCATTTGCCAGGCTAGCGTTGAACTGGTGTCTATTGCTAACGACACCGCTGCAGTCTGGCGTGTTCCACGGGTTGTTGCAGTAAGTCCATGGAAGCAGGTTTGTCATGGACAAGAAAAAGTAGTAGAAGGCAATGCAAATGACCACATTGTAGTATATCCCAATGTAGGTGGACACCACCATCATGCCGTAGCCCACGCCTGAAGGTAGGACAGGATGGAGAGAAAAAGAGAACCAGGTAGAGAACATTAGAAACTAAAATGTGAAGTGGATGCAACTACTGCTGCCTAATCAAATTTTCATATGAACAATAAAATCAATATTCACACAAAGACATACACACGCATATACTTATACCTTTAAACATGGGGCTGATCTTCCAAACCCCCAAACAGCCCAAGCTGGCAAACTGACCAAAGGAGAGCTCGAGGAAGAAGAGTGGAATGCCACAGAACACAAGCATGATGAAGTATGGCAGCATGAAGGCACCTGGAGGAGAAAATTAACAAGGAAGTCAATTTCTCTGGTCCAGAAAGACTGGGAAGGATACACGAACACATTGACTTAAAGGGACATGTCATATTTGTTTTCAGCTTTATATTTATATTCATGGATTTTGATAGAGTAGCTTAGTATGAATCCCAATTTAAATGTGAATCATCTACTGCTGGGCCTTGGTGGCCTTATTTCGTCCAATGTCTGGAACAAGCTGTTTTAACCCTGTCAAAGCCAACTGTCTTCTGATTACAGCAGCTGGATGGGCTTTGTGTGCTTACAGTTAGAGCTGTATGCTGACAATAATAGACAATATTATTATATCCCCTCTATATGAAATCCCTCAGAGCCAAAAGTAGAAAAAACAAAAAACAAAACTGAAACTGAGTGTTTAGTGAGTCTACTCAAAAGTCTGAGCTGACCTGATTATTGTAAACTTGGCCTTATTTAATATGAGCATCCAACGTTATTAAGAAATATGAGAGAAAATGAAGACAAGCATAACTCGTCCCCTCTGATATAAATGGTGCCCTATTCAGTGTTTTGTTGCCAGCAAACTCTTAAAAAGCTAGATGCATATGCAACAATACTGTGTTGTTGTGAGAACACTTTTTGTGTTAGTAGTGACAAAAATATCCAAACCTACAAGGCAAACAAAAGTCAGCTGCGTCCTATTCTGTTACCTGACAAAGATAATAACTACCATGGAGCCAGATGAGCATAATTACTGCAGAGATGCCAAGTCCACAGACACCAGCAGACAAAAGAAATCAGGCACATTATATAAGCTGGCAGACGTAGTCTATAAGTATTCTACATAGGTAGGCTCTCCAGCTACAAGCCAGAGAGGTACAATGGACCACATGTTGTCATTAAAAACAGGCTGTGCTATTATACGGTTTAAAATACTTACGTGGAAGCAATGACGTGCAATTTAAAACTTAACCAAATCAAGTCTTACATGAATTGGACCCATGCCATACAGACTTATAACTAAACCTGCAATTAATTAATTAAATTTTTTTTAAAAGCAAATGAATTTAATCTGTTATATAACCTCCCTAGAGTGAGCAGAGAGGTCACTAAATGTCCAGAAGAGTCTGTTCAGCAGTGCAGCAACTCTCTGGTGGTTCAGACTGGGCCAAAAACCAGACGGTCAACTATAGGGACAATCTGTGCGTGTGTGCACGCGCTAGTATGCTTTCATAAGATACTCCACATGTGAACTATGTTGGTGCAACCAGCTGATACCGTCCAAACCTTTTCACTGCTGATAAAGTGAACGGTCACTGCTGCAGTATCTGCAGCTGTGTGTTGAGCTAACGCATGGCCCGCATATACAAAGTCCTTGCGCAGGAACTCAAGGCTCCCGCATGCATGACACAAATCCAAATATTTGCACTGTAGGCTTATTATCTGCAGCTGGGGTCATGCCAAGGAAATCAAGCACTGAGTGAGGAGAACTGGACCAACACTGCTGCTTTTCACTACACGTTGGTACAATTCTTGCGCATGTTTTCAAAGGAAGATGCAAGGTATTTAAAACATAATTTAGGCTGTTTAATGTTTAATCCACAGCTTTTAGGATGCATCAGAGTAGGGAGCAAAATACTGACAAAAGAGCTTATTTTGCTGTCACGATGTTCTTACGCACTGAATACGGTAGCTATGTTATGAAAGCAGCATAACAGCAGCAGCACCTGGATCTGTTCTATGTGCTCAGACATATTTTGACAGCAATCACAGCCCAACAAACAATAACTGCAAACCTTTATGCCTAAAATGATGTTTTGCATTGATGTTGAGCACGTAATGTGTGAGCTATTGTGGAAAAAAGACAGCTGCGCCGAGTATAGGTCTATGAAATATGTTTGAAACATCCGGCCTGCACAATGATCTGACTTTATATCTCAAACAAATACACAGAATAAAAGATCTTGCAAATAATGTTAGCACAAATAAGTAATCATATCTGCTAAATTTCCTTTTTTTTTTTTTTTTTTTGAGATTTTAACCCCAGTTTAACTGTTAAAGACCTATTATTCTTTTCCTTTTTACTGGCACATATTCAGTGCCGTGGAAAAGTATTTTCCCCCTTCCAGATTTCTCCTTTTTTGTGCATATATGATATATAAAATAAAATGCAGCTTTTAAATTTTGATTTCATTTATTGAGAGGGAAAAAACTATCCAAACTACCTGGCCCTATGTGAAAAAGTAATTACCTTCCCCCCCTTGTTAATCATGAATTAACTTTCCAAACAAACGTGATTAATCACAGTGAAGTTCAATTTCACGAGCCAAACCAAAGCCTGATAACTGCCAGACCTGCTGAATCAAAAAAAATCACTTAAACAGAACCTGTCTGACAAAGTGAAGCAAGGTAAAATATATCAAAAAGCAACACATCATCCGAAAGCTAAGAAATAGAGTCATTGACATCTTTCAGTCTGGAAAGGGTTACAAAGACATTTCTAAAGATGTGGTACTTCAGTGAGCCACAGTGAGAGCCAATATCCACAAATGGAGAAAACTTTGTGGTGGACCTTCCCAGTAGTGGCAGCCCTACCAAAATTACGGTGAAAGTACACAGATGACTCCTCCAGGAGGTCACAAAAGAACCCAGACCAACATCTATAAAACTGCAGGCCTCACTTGCCTC